ACAAATCCAAAATAAACTGTAATTAAATAATGTATGTATATCTATACTAAAAATTAAGCTGAAGAGTTTGTTTGTTTGGTTGATTGAACTCCATAATTTCAGGAACTACTGGAACGTATTGAATTATTTTTTTGTGTTGAATAGTTCGAAAGGCTATATAACATGGCTTGCAATCAATGGCTTATAGGAGTGGAGCAGTAAGAAAAACTGTTGCAAAATATTTTCCTTGCGTGCGCTGCGTAAACGGTGAAAGTTACGCAAAAATCATCTATTACGAAATTAATCCCCTTTAAAAGTTCTAAAAAGAAGGCCGCGGCAGTACATGTCTATCTTATATTGTATCCCGAAAAAAAGCACATGAAGGGATGAAAATGGGAGTGGAAGTTCATATAGTGCATTAAATCGTTACCATAGAAACCATTGTTTACAATTCAATTTGTCATTGTAATTATATTAAATGTTATCCTTTTACAAATCCATTACTAAATGATGCGCACTTTTAAATTTTCTTTTTTTCTACAATGAGCTCTTTACGTAGGATTAAATAATGTTTTAATTAATTCAAATCGGTAAAATCTTTGTCGCAAATTTTTTCCAATTACATAATTTAATTGGGTATTATATTGTGTTATTGGAATATGGGGTATAAATGGGGCGAAAAAATTAAATGTCACATTTAGCTGTCGCTAGTGATCACTAGAACACATTACTGTACTTTTAAAACGGGATTTTGATCATTGTTATGTTTTAATCTTTGTTTTTTTCCGATTTTTATACAACAAAGTAGCTTTCGTTTTTAATTTTGAAATTTTTTCGAATAACATAATTTAATTGGGAATTTTTAATCAGAAAAAATAAATAAAATGATAAATTTAACTGTCGCTACTGATCACTAGATGACGCTACTGTACTTTTAAAACGGGATTTAGATTATTTTTGTAATTTTTCCGATTTTTATAAACCAAGCTTTCGTTTTCAATTTTCCGACATTTCCAGTAACATAATTTAATATGGAATTGATAATCAGGCGAAAATATAAAATTATACAATTAGCTGTTTTCGCTAGATGACGCTACTGTATTATTAGAACATGATTTTGATTTCTTTAATGTTTCTCGTCTTTATTGTTTTTCCAATATTTATCAAAAAAGTTGCTTTCATTTTCAATTTTGCGGTTCCATAGTCATCAAAGTTTCATCATGTCTGCCTGTCTGTGATTTAGCTCAAAAATGATTTGTGTTAGGTGTAAATTAGCATAGTTTAAACTTTAATCACGCCGACAAAGCGGTTAAATAAAATCTTAAAAAATATATTTTTCCTCCTCCCCTACATGTAAAGTTGAGGATGAAAAATTGTTTTATTTTCCCATTGCGTGGGGTATCGTTCGATAAGTCTTTCAAAAATTGTAGGAGTTTGGGGAGACCGTTTTTCGATTATGTGAATCGTTCGTGACTTATCTAAGCTTCAGTGTCAACTTTAGTTAGAATCTAATGTCCCCCACCTCCTACCATTTAAGGGTTGTTGTTAGAAACTCAACGTTACGGCAGTAGTGTATATAACGAATTTAATAGGAAAACTGTCACACTTAAGGTGGCTTTACAAATTTACGAGTAATAGTCGACCAAAATGTATTTAACTTGAAAATTTCTTAAATTTCTTGATCTTGAAACCTATGTGCGAGGCACTCGGCCACGGAGGTGTAAGTTAACTGAACCACCCATGTTGCTTGCCTGTTGTTGCGTGTTGTAAAGTTAGTCCCATACAACATGTTTTTGTCGACAGCTTCCATAACAATCGTCAAAATTCAGTGAAATAATCCTGCCTAATTTTTGAATGAAGGAATCCCCATCGATTACGTCGACTCGGTATTAATATTAATGGTGTTATAAATATCAATATGTAAATAAGACGTGTACAAAAAATCTGGGTAATTAGTAGTTCGTAAATCTTGACAAATTTTGGCAACCATTTGTTTCTGCCGATTCAAATAGATCGGCAATATTTTAATTATTTTCAACTTGTTCTTGCTTGCGATTTCACTAACATAGACTAGACTCATTAATTATAGGGACATTTTACTGGATGTTAATTATACGCAAATCTGATAATGATATTTGCCTTTGTCCCAATTACTTGATTTGGATTTCATTTAATCTGTCTTATGTCTTCACCTTACTTGGGAGACAGAGAAACTGATCGATGTTGGGGACGACGTTTACAACCTTTCAACGTTCATTGTTCTTTTAATAAATTTCGCCGGTTTTAATTGACAGGAAATGTAGTCGTCATGTGTTTCATTAGAAAACATGAAACATCTATATTTACATATATGTAAATATCTCTACCCACTTACAATATATCAGAACTTTTAACACAAAAGTATTAATCTGAATCTTTGATAACTAATGACATGTACATTTTGTGGAAATTTACCTTCAAAGTCGTTATATAAAATACGTAGAGCATAGTGAGAACATATCTGTTGACGTGGTGGCATATTTCTGACGACGCCACGCGTATTTCGTTGATGGACAAGAGTAAATATAGTCGCATGTCCTCGCCATTGACTTGAGGAAGTGATGGATTTGCGCAGGTCGAGCCGTCGATGCCACTCGGCCTCAGCCCGATCCGGCGGTTGTTTTCAATAAAAATGTCAGGTTGGCGCGGCGACGCCGAAGCACGCATTTAGCCTGGCGGTAGGCCAATACGGTGCATAACCCCCTCCTTCTCGCTTGCACGCACAAGGTCGTCCCATCTAAAGAACTATTGCTTACTCGTCACAAACCCTTACAAAGTCAGATAATTTTAATTATAACTGCTATTAATTCCAAATTAAAATTTTCTTATTTTTGTTGGACTAGAGACCTTGTATAGACAAATAAAAGGAGCACAAATTCGACAGGGTTGCGTTATTCAATTACATAGTTCTCATAGCTACCTTTCAGTTTCATCGTCAGACCCTAGATATTATCTTGGACCTAACCCCTTGTCAAAATAAATAAACCCAAAGTCAATGAGATTGCTTCGTTTAATTACAATTACGTTTCATAGATACCTTCCGGCTCAATTAGCAGATCAGCTCTATGCCATATTATTACATTGTCTTCCAAGTTATGTATGCGAAATTTTAGCTCAATCGAAAACCGAGGTCTTTGGCTGTGAGTAATATTTAATAACACGACAAGTTAAATAAATCCTTGTAAAAACGAATTTTAGACTACATCATCAACTAGTATTGTAATGGTGCGTCGTACCACACCGTTAAATTTGTCCTAGGTTCCCGCATTCAAACTTTTTGTCTTTAATCTTTAACTTAATCTATTGTTTATTGTGTTCTCTCCAAATGTCAGTTCATAAAAAATCATCATGGCAAGAACACGATCAAAAATTAAAAAAAAAAAATCTAATATAAAAATCTGTGCTGTGATATACAAGTTATTTAAGTGTATGTGTACCTAGCCTAGCCATAAGTTCTGACACAAAAAAAATATTCGCTAATTTAAAAAATTATTATTATTTTTAAAAGTTTTCTATGTGATTATGTAGAATGAAAAAGATATGTGAACGTACTAAACTAGTTATTCAAAGAGTCCACCCTTAGCTTTAACGCACGCTTTTAAACAGTCGGGCCATTCGTCGATGCATTTACGAACGGTTTCCACTGGAAAATTGGTCACAGCTGTCTCCAAAGATATCTTGAGCGACTCAATATTTGGGTGACACTTAGCGCAGGCCATGTCCTCTAGCACAGACCACAATTTATAGTGCAATGGGTTTAATTCCGGACTAGCCGAAGGCCAATCATCAGCCTTTATGAAGTCTAGAACAAATTTATGTAGTGCGCGCCTTATGACCAGGGGCTGAATCCTGTTGGAATGTGCACACTTCGTTATTGAATAAGGAGTTAAGAGGTTTAAATACTGCTTCTAACACGGTATCTTGATACAGTTTGGCTGAAGTTTTCACTCCTTTTTCGCAACAATGGAGTTTTGTTACCCCTTGGTAGACACCCCACCAAACCATGACGTATGCTGGATTATGATCTCGCTGAACTTTGGCTACTACCTTGGAAGCTTCTTTAGGGCTTTGTGCATACACCCGATCATTTTGTTTGTTATAGTGCTCCTCGATTGTAAAAACCTTGACAATTGCCTTGACTGCATTAATGACCTGGTTTGATCGAACCCCACCCCATTTCCAAAACTAATTAATAATTTCTAAACAAAAAACATACATCTATTTTTTATCCTAGAAGCTAATGTTCGAAATTCAAATTAATGTTTTTTTTTAATGTATGTAAACAGCCAGTAAAAGAATTTATGGCTAGACTAGGTATAAGTTTGCATCGTATCTTCTAAGTTAAACTCAGAAAAGGGTTTTTTATTGACACCATAAATATACCTAATTCATCAAGTCTAGTCAGCCGTTTCATTTACCAACCAACTTCTAAGCTCCGAACCAGTCACAATATTAAATGCTCGTAGGTCGTTATTAAATTATAATTAAATGAGGATTTAGTTGACCTATATTATTAAGAGTTTACGTGAATGCCAAATAATTTATGTTGAAAGAGTTTTACGACGCCGACACAGACGTCAATGCTAAATGCTGAGGTTCGGAAATTCAATTCTGATTTAGCATTGGCGTCTCACAGAAATCCAATAAAATGTCTTTGATGTAAGGTCACCCGTCGCAATTGCGGAGATTAATTTAATGGTTTGAAGCAGACATTAGTCAACGAGGATTTTGCAGATTTTAGGTCTAAATATTTACAGGGTAAGCGAATTCCACTGGGAGCAATTTAATACCGTATTTTGTAAAATTAAATTGTTAGTGAGTTTGCGGATTAAAATTATCGTGTGACAATAAACTTCTAGCCAAGAGATTTTCCTATAGAAAAAGAAAACTCTTTTCAGTAATAGATATGTCCTCCAACCGACATTGTAGATTTGGTCATGAAATTTACGAATATAATCTGATATTAGTACAAACGTTTACAGGTGACACCTGGCACGCCTGCTGGCCGCGAGCTTCTACGAGGCGATATCATAGCCAAGATTGACGACTACGATGCACGCGACTTGAGGCACGAGGATGCACAGAACCTGTTTAAGAATGCCTCCAATCAGATCAGAGTAGTAATTCAAAGGTGAATTTATATAAATAAATGAAAATTAATTTCTTAATAAATGTGTGCAAAGCGGACCGTGGTGAAATAAACCCATATTTTTCTTTTAATTCGAAGCAGATTTTTAAGGCATTTGAATTAGAAAATTTGAGAAAAATATAGTTAAAACAATACTTTTGTTTCTCATGAAAACATCACGATTTTCGCCGGGTCATATTTCTTAATACTCCTACTGCATTTACTCTTTGTAATTTTCGTTACGTATTTGGATTAATAAAAGATCTAATCTATCTTGATTCCTCGAACACTGGCTGTTCTACTGACCCGCCATTTTCGTTTTTACAAATTAGAACTTTAAAAAAAATCTCAGGAGTTGTGGTTATAAATTAAAATATTTATATTAGTACGTCTATAACAGTTTGCTGATTTCAGCAGCTGGAACTTTACCGTAAGCCTTTACTGATGTGCTACATGATCTACCAGACTGCTGGCCATTCATTTTGGTCAAATTTTAGTTGTTAATTAAAATTGAATATAGTGACAACATATGGTGTTATAAGCCATTGCATCTACCGATAGCGGATGGAAATCCGTATCTTAATATAGGATTTCAGAAATATTAACGTCAGTTACCTAGTTACATGTATTATTTTGGTACACTTTAATAACATTTTCATACAAGTCTATTGTTTTAAGGTGGAACGTCACAGTGATCATATTTTCGACTGTCAATGTTCTAATAATGATGTATTACATTTTTATTCATTCAAAAGGGCCGTATTCTATCATCAGTATTATTGATATGGGGCTCCAGCACCTTAGGAGCCCAGACGTCGATATGAGTAAGCGAGGGCAATTTACATTCACACCGTACGTCATTAGTCCATTAATGGGGCATAGGCCTTCTCTATACATAGGATCATATAGGGAGAATGGGTCATACATAAGCAACTCAATTCGTTTTGGAGAATTAACGACTGTAGATGCAACCAGGTCCAATGGTTTGACATGTCTACGTAGCAATGAAGAGCCTTTGCGGAAATTAGTTGATTTCCGCAACACAGACCACGCTATCTCTGCAGTATTGAGTTCCTTAAACATTTAGATAAAAGAAATCATCAAATTAGAATATAAGCACCATCTGTCGAAAATAAAAACGAATTAATCCGTGATTTGCCGCCTAACTTCATAGTATAAAAACAGGGGAGGCTCGAGTTCGCACCTTTACTCGGTACCACGCGCTTCCGGCAGTTACGTAGGCCGAGTGCCCACGCCCACCTTCTATCACGAGTTCGCCGAGTAAGATGTTATACCTATTAGGTGTCCTGGACTGCCAAATCTCCTTCTTAATAGATGTTAATACTGTTCGAAGTGATTTAAAGTCCCTAAATCTAGAAAAATAAAATGTATACTGCTGGGATTATAATTTATAGATTTTGGTCCTTCGAGTCGTATTGGTGGAATTTGTTTAGATTTGATCCTAGAAAATGTTGGATAAATAAAATTCACATAAACAGCAATACATTTGTAGAATGAGAAAAAATTAAAAATATCTAATGCTGAACTATTAATCCCAGCACATACGATACAATACTGTCGTTAAATAGGGATGTTAAGACTACGTATCGATGTAATGTCTTTTGAAATAATGATAATATATAATATTATTATATGTTTGTGCAAAACGAGGTTTAACAACCGTCAACCGTAACATCCCTATTCGATAAAGTTTTACCTTAACAGGTAAATTAATAAAAATATATATTCTCACACGTTTATGCAAGAAAGTTTCGCATGGATTATATATCATGTATTTATTTTTAAAATGTTTATAAAAATACAATGTGTAATGTTTTATAATAAAAATAAGTCAGTTCATATGCAATAATTGGCTGAAAAATGACTCTTATCAATTTTAGAAAAAATATGTGTTTGCGTATTGCGATCCAAACTTAATACATAATGGTTCAATTTAAAATCCGTGCACTCGTAAGGATACTTTCTTTATGAGATCAATTTTAAATCCCATAGAGAAAATATCAAAAAGCAAATTCATTATTTCATAATGAAAATATCAAGATATTTTCATATACCTGTTTCCTATATTATCGATATTGTAAAAATACGTCCATATATTATTTGTCTGATACATCTTTATTCTACATATTTTTTAATTATCTATTTATATTTTTTGTTTATTTTTATATGTTTTATTAAAACACTATTTGTCCAAGCAAGAGCGGAACCAGACTTTTTTCAGGGCAGGTGGTTACAGAATCATGAGTGAGTCAGGATTATACATTCTGCAAATCATTCATTGGCATTACAAAAAATATAATTGGTGACTCAAGGGGCCTAGAGAGGATCAGGACCACCATGATCGCCTCCTTGGATCCGCCCTTGTCTCCAAGTTCGTTTGTCTAACCTAAATATATCAACCATGTATTATGATATCAAATTAAATTACTATCCTATCATAAAAGCATGTATAACTCGTACGAATTAACATGATATTTGAAAGCCTATTCTCCTCTCACCTATTTGTTCTCGAATAAAAGAGGTGCGAGGAGAATTTTGAATCGTTCTTATAATTTTCTTTTAAATCACATCCTTGAAGATTATCTGTGCATCAAATGCAGTGTCAGGCCCTACCCCCTTGTCATTTTAGCATTCCGAAAATAGACGAAATATCGTTTTCTTATAAATAGAATAGGCCTTCAGGTGTTTTGTTAATATGTACGACTAGTAATACCTGATAGACAAACCGACTTGGGAAATAAAATGTTATGTGCTCCGTGACATCTCCCTATATGTACTAGTGATACGAGTAATAACCAATTTATATGAATGCAATATTTGGTACTAGTCTAGATGTGCATTTGTTTTATCGTTGTTGTTACATTTGTTTTTAAGGCACATATGTTATCCCTTGGTGTACTTAAAGCATTGTCCTCAGTTTATGTTTAGATTAATGTGCACATATTAAAGAATCGATAGACCGCTTTATGTTTTGAACACCACTGTTGCTTATTACTATAGTCATTGTTTTTTGAGGTTTTAAAATTCAAAATGGCGACTTAGTCCAAAAGATGCAAATGATGACATGTTTGAAGATTTATTCTGCAATCAAATACATCTGTGTTTTACTTACATGAATTACAATATATGTATCGGTAAGAAATAAAGCCTATGACTTAGCGATAAGAGTTACTGATAACCTGAATATATTAATATTATAAAGAGGAAAGATTTTATTGTTTATTTGTTTATAAATAATAGGCTTCGAAACTATTGGATCGATTTAAAAAAAAAATCACCCTTTCGGGATACTACATCATACGCGGTGAACAAGATTTTATGCTGAAAATCATCAAATATATGAAAATGGTAGGAGAAGTTTGTATAGAGAATTAAAACGACTGTTAAACCATTATTTACTATTTAGTCATTGTAATTATATCCTTGTCATGATATGAATTTATATCGAATTATACAGTTTTCTGAGAACCACGCGGGCAAAGCCGCTGGCGAAAAACTAGTACTGTTATAAGGATGTAACATTATTGACAGAATAGCGTACACAACAATCCGAACACGAATACTTAGTACGTAAAATAGCAAACCAAATGTTGATACTAGGCACCGATGTCCCTTACAACAGCGTTCGAACACAAATACTATTAGGAAGCAAATCCTTGTAACAACTCAGGTCAAGGAAGAAGATAACTAGAAAGCCTATTATTCAATTTCATGACCTTAAAAACATAAGAAAACCTTCCTTTTTTAAAGTACGTTTTAAAAATGCATGAGCATTCGTGGTGTTCAAAATATTAAAATTTATCATAAACACATATAATCATTTAGAATGTCATTCATTCGCATGTTATGTGTATAGGGACGTGGACCGCGAGCTCCCAGCTGGGACGCCCCAAGCGCCGAGATCACCCATCCCGAATTACGTTCCACCACCATACAGGTACATCAACATCAGTCATTTTGAATTAGTAAATACATACCATAAACTTAACATAACTGTTAGTCGAAAAAAGGCTCTATGTCATTGCATAATGGATTATTACCTTTTAAAGCACTATAACCAAAGTTATCAAGTTCCAATGTACAAAAAATATTATAGATTTAAAATTTAAAGCATTTCAAGTACGAGAAACAAATTTATTTTTATTTTATAATTTTTTTATTTAAAATAATTGTTTATAACCCTATGATTTTAAGAAGCATCATAATTACAATTTCGTGATTTATAAGCCATTTAAAAATATATAAATATTTTATAACGAAAAAAAATTCATTACTTTTGGTAGGTGCTACCGCTTAATAGTAAGAATAGAAATTAGCAAGTGTATCTTATTCTGATATGTATTAATAGCACACGCCGTTGCCTTCGAATACTAATACTGCTGCTAATGTAGAAACAAACTATCAAAAATAATCAAGAAAATAGCTGCAAACATCAGTTCATTTGTGTGAATTTTGTAAGTTTCATTAGGTTTATGGATTGCACCAATAAACCTTTCCAGAATCATATTCAGAACTTTCATGCTTCTGCATCACTAGTTTCTTTCGTTGACTACAATCGAGAATTTACTAACTCAGTAAATTAAAACCTACTAAATTTATGTTTTTCGATGATTTATTTTTTATAGTAGAATTTCTAGATAAATGCAATTCTATGTTTTTACACAGTAATTCTTACGGGTAACTTTACCCCACAATCGCCGATTCCCTACCATAAGACAAGACCTTAATTCCCTTTGGCAGCTAACTCACAGTAATTTTCGGTTTCTAACATCACATCACAGTACGCTATGATTACCTTGTCCACCCTCAGATTCTAAATCCTTCCATTATTATGTTAATTAATTTTTAAATTTTAACTAGGACTCCAAGTCCGATGCCTGCGTCGGGATGGCGCGGCCCCGAGTCGTTACCCAGGAGTACTCCTGTGCCGCACCAATCGCCGTTCCCTCAACAACACGAGGGAGAATACAGGACACTGTTACTGTCACCGACTTCGACGCGCACTGATGATACTGTCGACGAATCTATCCAGAGCCAGGTCAGTGGTTTATATAAGTAGTTCAGTGTTTCTCAAACTGTGGTCCACGGACCCTAAAAAATAAAAATTAATTCAAATAGATTTTTTTTATTTTGTTCTATCTAAAAATAATTGTCCTGATCAATCTGACAAGATGTATAACATTTTCTGTCATGTCAACAGTTGTTTATCTTAAATGTCAATATCATATAAATAGCATGATATGTGTAATCAAATATTTAATTTATAACTTGAAATAGCCATTTGAGCGATAGTTAAAAAAGATTATTTAATTTCAGTTTCATGGGTGTTATTACGTAACAAGTTTCTTTTCTAATCTCAAAAAAAAAGTCATAAAACCCTCAATGATTTAAGAGCATAGTACTATTAGCTGGAAAAATATTTGTATCTATTTTGTTAGCATCCTGTATATGTGGGGTTTGCAGTTTCATCAACGGACTTTTAATAAAAATAAATGCCACTTATTTGGCGCGACGAATGTGCGCCGGTGGATATATAATATCAACTTATAGTATAACAAATAGAATATATAATATAACAAATAGAAACATCAACTTAAACAAAAGTGATTCGTACTCTTTGTCGGTTGAACTGAAATTGGGTAAACATACGTAAGACCCAGAGGTAGTCGCAAATAAATGAATTTTAAATGTTCGAGTGCTAGTTTAAAAAAGTTTCACCAACTTTGTTGTGTGCCATATCATACAGAATTCAGTACTCATTTTCTCTTTATTTTAATTATTTAATATAGTATCATGTCAGTAATGATCTACCTATATTTGATGAGTTTATAGATGAGAACAACTTATTATATTATAAATAATTAAATATTATTTATTTAATACTATCTGTTTTTCCGCGACTTCTCCCTCGTCAATTATTATCTGTCACCCGCACATGATATAGCTTTACGTAAATGAAAATTTTTTTATGATTGGATCAGTAAGTATCTCCGAAGATTATACTCTACAAACAATCGTTTATAAATTTTAACCTGTTCATTATTAAGTTTAAAATGGATTGCGGTTACTTGACAATTGTGCTTAAGACCCTGCCTACACGTGAATTAGACGCGTTTCTTAATTGTGATAAGGAACAGTGTTACTTATAATTAAAAAAAGTTTGAAGCATTGAATATAAATTCGCATCAGAATTCGCAGTGAGTTTGCACCTTATCGACAAGGTTTAACGTTGTCCTGATGTGTCTTATCTAATCTCTAACACATTTTGTATAATCTACATTACTTTGCCTGCGCACATTCGTTTTCCGTCCGTGTTTGGTTTCCTGATCAGGAATTCCGATTCGGAGACCCGAACGCACACCTTTTCATTTTTGATCGCGATCAATTCTGAACAGACCACTTATGATCAGGAATCCGATTGCGTTATGACCAGGCCAGAATTGATATTTGTTCTCTCTAGTAATATTAAGCATTGTCAAATACAGTAATCATAAGAAGGAATATAATTTATATTTTAATAATGTTTTAAAATTAACATTTTACACGTAGTTAGTTTAGTACGAAGTAAAACATTTCACATTCCATGCTACAATGTCACAAAGTATTTAAAGGAAACTGTTAACATTACAACAAAATTGAATCCACGTTTTATTTATATTCGCTTCATACTTGCAATTGCGACTTAAGAATTCCAACCCTTTGCGAAACGAATATTATTGCTAACGTCCTTGGTGTTAAAACGAAATGGGTTAACCAAATCACGTTCATCCGTTAAATGACGTCACTTGGCTTTCCGCCAATACGCTCTTAGGTCTAATGATGCTTTATTAATTAGTTATCTTCGGGCTGACGACGTTACAGAAACAAGATCCCATAGGTCACTGAATCTGGCCTGTTTCTAGTCGAGAAATATTTTATACGACCTCAGAGCATTCTGGAGACTACTAAATCGGTTCGCTGATTCACCATAGCAATAATAGAACCGGCTACGATTCGCGATATAAAACACTGTTTGAGCAATGAGGCCGTGCTATATTATATGAACGATTATTGTAAGTGCATGGAGAATCTTACCGATACATCTATACTTACTAATTTTATAAAGCTGAAGAGTTTGTTTGGTTGAACGCGCTAATCTCAGGAACTACTGATTCGAATTGAAAAATTATTTTTGTGTTGAATAAATCATTTATTGAGGAAGGCTTTAGGCTATATAACATCACGCTGCAACTATTAGGAGCAAAGAAATAATGGAAAACGCGAACAAAGTCACTGGCGGCCACTAGTATTTTATAATGCCATGTGAAAGATGTTTGCTGTATATATTTTATTAAGTTCGTTTTATTGGTAGCATAATCGCGACTTTTCGAAAGCCAATTCTTAAGTACCGGTCCAAAAATATCGGTGTGTAGATTCCCGTTGCCAACTGTCTCTACTAGAGATTTTTATATATTTTTTATTATCTATTTGTTTATTGATTTCTTATATTTTCACGCGCACTATCCATAAATGAAACAACTTTGAAACGGTTTATTCGCGTTTGTATTTTTCTTTTATTGACGTTTCGGACCCTTTACAGATTCCGTGTTCACTTAAGACTAAGGTGTCGAATGTCTTTTTAAGAGTGTAGCTACCTTCTAAACAATGCTACTGGACACATTCACAATGCAAAAAAATATATATTTTATGGTCACATTTACATTTATTAAATCAAATTATTTACAAAATACATTTGAATTATATATTTACATACATACATATACATACAAATACAAATATATAATATATATGTAGATAACAACACACACCCACAGGCACAACACATAACACAATACATACACTCACAACACACAATACACACATTCACAACACAATACCTCACCCACGAACTCATTCACTCATTTATTTTCATTTTGGTTCTTGTTAACATTAAAATATGTACTTGCTACAAAGCTGGAGCGAAATGGTCCCAATACAAGTATTTTATATTACTTACTGGGATAATTTCAAGGTTGTAAATGATGGAAATAATGTTAATAAAGAACATTTTTATTTTTTATTTTTATTATTTATTTACCCCTGGCTACCGTCGATCCATTAATTATTCAAATAAAACCCTGTGTGTCCCTGACACTCTGAGATGGGATTCGAACCCATGACCTTTCGCAATCCGGACGACTGCTCTAACCACTGAGCTACCTAGGACCTTTTTTTTTTTGTGACGCTGAGAAATGCGTTACGTATATCCGCTTCATCCTGCGCGGGCTCCACGGGTGATGTGGGACTCCTCCTGTGGCCCCACCCCCGAAGGGGCTAGACAAGAAACAGAAGTTTACCCACTAAAACTCAGCGATATCCCTCTCATGGTGGGCGATGCGCGGGATCGGCCCGGAGGCCATGCACCGCGCGAGCTACCCAGGACCTAACAGGACTGACGAATTTTTCAAGCACTTGTTACTTTTTCGCTACTACAGAGCGTATTTTCATCGATGTTCAGGCAATCCGCTCAAATATTGGAGAACATTTATATAGTTAACACTTAGAGTTTACATGAGCCGAAATCCGGAATCGACAGCTCTTTATAAAGAAGGGTAGTTGCACTTACACCTATTGTATCATCCGTACTCGTGATACCATGACCAAATATTTCCAAGTCTGTCTGTGATGCACTGATAGTACGCAGACTACAAGTATTGCTCTGAAAATTCTGTTATAATCAGCACATATTACCAGATAATATAATAGGTATTACCTAATTCTAAAAAAGTGGGTAGTTCAATGAAAAATATGCTCGAAGTAACATTCCTCTTTTAAAAAAATACTATACTGACGATATAAGTCTTACTGACGATGACGCTACGACGTACTAGGAGCTTGGTGATCTCCCAAATGTTGCAAAGAGTTTCTTACGCCAATTGACGTAACTTCGGTAATTGCAAGTTGCCTCCACGATGCGTAAGAATAAGACCAATAGCAATAATATCTATATCACTTTAATTATCATATTGTAAAAGATAAATTATTTTCCAATCAAATTACATTTTTTATTATAGAACGTCTTTTCACGCTATACGCTGACAGCTATTTTGTTAAGATACCACTCTGGCTCAATATCTTAGTTAATGAAACAGCATATTACACATATTATGTAGGTGGATGTTAATATTATTTTCTTTAATCTTATTTTTAATATAAAATATTAGACATTTAATTTGCGCCCGTTGCAAGGCTGTGGCGCGGTAGGCTTCGCCCACGCCGACGCCCATTTTCCCGCCTAATTTCCAAAATAGAATGCATTGAAATCGCGTTGTTTACCCGTTGAAGAGTGCCTGGAGCGGCAGTCTGTGATCGAGCGCTGAACGACACACGTCCGCGCGTAGTGCTACATATAATGGCGGTCAACCCGAATTTCTTCCCCAACGGGTACCAGGATCCCATGCATCCTGAGGAAGAAGTTGTCACCAACTGGGTGCGTCTGGTCTCAACTTAACTTCCGCTAACTGCTGCTCTAGTGATTTATAGTGCCACGTAGTGAAGGTCACGATTGATGTTATCCAGATGTGTACCGTCACGGCTGCTGGTACTGTGGCATCACCTAGAATGTTCAAACGCCATCTAATTTTGGAGCACTTGAAGCCCGCGCGTTGTGTTACAAAATATGTGATGTAATAACTCGCGAGCTTTACGATGTTATTTTCTGTGATGATATACGGACGTAATTTCCTTAGAAAAAAAAATGTATGAATCATGATATCTTTGTAAATCATCTATGATTACTGCGCTAACACCTCTCGATCTATTAAATTCACATTGTATAAATAACCGTTCACTTAATATTTCAGTTTAGCTGGAATGTTAAACTTATTAATAATACAACAAATCCTAATGCGTCTATTTGCTGTAACAAATGTTTTTACGTGACGTTTTCTTTTGAAGTCTTATATACAACTTAAGCTCAATTTCCTTATTTTCTATTAGATTTTAATCTATGTTTTGTTCTCCGATACCGCAGTTCAAATCTGAACTGATTAATACACACATAGACCACCCTGTTCTTTTGAAAAAGGAAAATATAACTACAGAGTGAGTTCTTGGTTCCAATTGTGATGTATTATAATGATATATTAATTAGTGAAAAAAAAAACTGAATCACTTATACTTCCTTTCTGTTTTCTTATAGATTCAGTCTAAGAAATTTTCATCAGTCCATTGTCGAATTAGAGAATTTTTCATCATTTTTTTAACAGCCAATCAAAAATGCTATCATCAACTATAATTCGTCGAGTGACATAATAAATTTAACATTACTCATATCATCGTCAAAAGAAATAATTTTAATAACGAGTATTCTGATATGAATTCGCAGCTGTAAGTCTATTTTCGAGCCAATGTCACGTAACAAAAATGTTACACCCACTTAAATTTCAGTAACACTTACGTTACATATAATATAGCTAAATCAAAATAACGTGTGCACGTGCTAATATTAAAGTTATCACTTTTCATTTATGGGATGTCTGGAATGATTTTTTTCTACAGTCGGGAGAACTCTTCTATTTTAAAAGAAAATTAATATTCTTACAAATTATTATATAACTGTAAGAAATATTTGTTTCTTTGAATTTTAGATTTTATTTAAGACTAGCTTTGCCCCACGACTTCACCCACGTAAATTATAATAGCCTATGCCACCCTCGCGTGATGTAGCTCCGCGTAGGTGAAAGAAATTTAAAATCGGTCCAGTATTTTGGAGCCTATTCAATACAAACAAATAAATAATCAAATATTTATACTTTATAATATTTCAAGCGGTTTGCTTGCAACTTCGCACGCGTAAATTAAAGCTTATTTCAATCACATTTGATGTAGCTACCCGTTGGTGAAATAACTTTAAAGATCGGTCTACGCAAACAAACATACATACAAATAAAAATAACAAAAATTTCTTCTTTAAAATTTATTTATAGATTAGTATAGACTACTATATAATTCTGTGTCAAAATCTGTGATAATTATATTGTAATTAATTATACATACCCAAAGACTACAGTTGTAACGGTGTGCCGTACCACCGTTTATCTTGCCCTAGGTTTCAGCATGCAAACTTTTTGTCTTTGATATTCAACATAGTTTTAACGTTCAAACAAAATTAAATTCCTTTGATTTTGCCAAATTCTAATCTAATTCCGTTTGTTATCAAAAAGTCAATCGTTCATAGAATGGAAAGCTAATGGAAGATATTTATCGTTGCAATCCTATTACAAATAGCTATGACCAAGATAGAGTATGCGTCAGTAGCGAAAGCTTCAGATTTGTAAACACGGACGCAAATATCACTAAAGCTGAGACAATTATGCTAGTGCTAACGTAATAATAGCGTCTCAATGGTATGTCACCTGCATTTTGCGACCGCATTATATACATGTGGCTCAAAATTACAAGTACGGTCTTAATAAATGCTGATTTGACGTCTTAATTAATTAATAAGTGCTGGCAGACCTTAAGTAAATAACAAAAACTATTTTTATTAATGAAAAATGCTTTAAAAATCCACTTTACCCCTGGCACTCGGAGATGGGATTGCGAAGGGTAATGGGTTCGAATCCCATTTCAGAGTGCAAAGTCAAAGTCAAAATAATCTTTATTCAAATAGACTTCTTAAAAGTACTTTTGAATCGTCCAATATTTTTTCCCTACCGCTCGTTCTGGACGTCTTTTGGCCGATAAGAAGAACGAGCAAGAAAACTTACCAGCTCTATTAGGAGTAGTGACAAAAACCGAAACCAGATCAATACATTATAAATAGAGAGAGAGAAAAAACTATGATCTTATAATGATAACTTAATCATTTAATAATAATGGAAGCAAGATAATTTTTGATATATAATGAGTTAAGAAGTAATCACCTATCCAGTTGCTAGATTATCTTAAGTCCAAGCATTCTTATCTGTTATATAATCGGATACCTTACAATAAGCTTTTTTAATAAGTATTTTTTAATAGTAGATATAAACTGCATGATATCTAATTGTTGTATTTTGCTTGGGACCTTATTGTAGAAGCGCACACAAAGACACCTGAATGAGTTCTTAACTTTTTGCAGTCTAGTGACAGGCGCTGTTAATTTATTTTTATTTCTTGTATTAAAATTGTGTACATCACTTTTTATTGAAAACAAACTAATATTTTACAAATTACATGAAGTTCTCTATTTCCTTAAATTTCTCCCTTAAAGAGTCACTAATCCTAAGATTATAAATTAATCTAATTGCTCTTTTCTGAAGCACAAATCGTTTGTATGTCGGCAGCATTTCCCCACAATAGGATTCCATACGACATCAAAGTGCCAGGGACAAAGTGGATTTTTTAAGCATTTTTTATTAAAAATATTTTTCAATATAGCGTTGTGAATGCAATATTGTTGAAATATAATAACAAAAACTATGTCAATAGGTGATGTTATTAAAACGAGTTGCACCACTTGATTTTAGTAATATTAACACAATTGAAGCCCAAAAGCCTAGGCTGTAACTCTGCTGGTGTTAGACTAATTATGGTGAGTCAATAAACGCTTCAAGAACAACTTTTTTAAAGTTTTTGACATCAGCTCACAAAATAACAAACATATCGCGTTGCCATTGATTTGTGAAAAAGATATTGCATTTGTAATATTGGGGTTCAGGTACCTTTAAGGATCGCTTTTAAGATACCATTAGTACCTTTAAATTAGGTAGCAGAATTGAGCCCCTAGTATGTTCAACTTATTGGCACATACTATTAAAACGTTGGGTTGGTAAACATTTCTTTTTCTTGTACATTTTTAAGCAACATGAATCATTGATTACCCAGCAACGATCATTGACGATATTTCAACAGCTGTTTCATTATATTCTAGTGCTTTTGATGTTTATGTTTAAAGCGACCTTCTACCTGTTTACATAAAACAAAGCACTAAAATGAACACGTGCAGAAAAAGCTATTACAAACTGAAATCATACCAAACTACCACCAAATGTTGGATTTTACCAATGAATTTTATTAGGTATGAATTTAATTGATAACAATTACAGTATTACAGATATTCGATAAGAAATATGTGACATTAAAACGAAATAACTATCTAAACTGTATTTATTTTAGGAAAATACTTAAAAAAAGAATGCCACACACATCTTTTAAAGTATTTTCTAAGATTTAATATTAAAAGATATTAAGTGAAGTATGTACTTTGAATGTGCAAATAACTATAGGTAAATGGCGTAAAAAAATATTTATATTTATAATAATTAACATTACAACAGGTACTCCTCGAGTGGTCGATCTCGAAATCGGCTTAACAGTGGTCGACTTAAAGGAAAACTAACTTTGGTTATTATTAAGATAGACTCCTTTTAATTAACACATGTTTTTATTTGAAACTTTTGAGATATTATTAGTAGTGTTACGTGTTAATAATATTTTTGTAGACAGTGCTAGTATGAGTGCCATATTAAAAATTAACTGATACGCAATAAAAACTTGAGATAGTATTTTTAATTTGCAATTTGGTTATTGTGGTCTGTTTTATCAGTTCGTTTTAGAAAAGGCAAACTTTTGTTCAAATAATTTGGAAATTTTTTCTCATCAACAATATGTTGCTTTGCTAGTTGTTGTTTTTCGACAGCGGAACCGTTTTATATAAAAATTTCCTTCATCTCAACTAGAACAAGTCATACTTATTCTTCAACAAATAAATTCATGTGACTGTGTTTTTATTCTGTGACATTCGTTTAATGTCCAAGGAACGATTTTATATATGTTTCAAAGTTGACCACGACCCACATTCAAATCATGCGATAGTATAAATATAACGAAATAGTGTCAGAAATCATAACCCACATGGAACAACCTCGCGCGTATTATTAGATCGGACGCGTTCCTTGCGACTAGAAGCGCTTGCGCATGTATGTACCGAATTTCTATCATGAAAATGTACGTATTATTGTAACATTTATAGATTATCCTTTATGCAAACTAGACACGTGGCTAAAAAGTATATTCTTGATTCGTATCGTAACCTAAATTAACTAATTCCTGGCAAAATTACGCTGCGCCCTTAATATGTACGTACAAAAACTATTATTATTGATTATGATCTGTGGTTTACGTACAATTCTATCCGAAAACAAAAAATTATACCTTAAGTGTTGGGCGCCAATGAAACGTTTGCCTACGACTGGCGTCATCCTTTCAATACTATCGGATGACATGAAAAATGACATGTTTTAGCCCTGAAAATAAGTCGTCTAAATCTATCGTCGATGGTTCGTTGAACTTCTAATGTCATCCACCGTGAACCTTGACTTCCGACGTGTAATATTTCAAAGTCAGAACGTTCCAGGAATACTTCATTCATGTTGCGTTGCTTACCGCCAATAACATTAAAATACCTAGTTTGTTCTAATCAAAGAAAAAATGAACTGTTTTTATTTATTGACAGGGGTGATTTTATTTACTATAGGAAAATGTTAGGACTGCACTTCTTACTTCTAAAGGTTATACGATCAACGCGTGCATTTCATATAGCTGAGTAAAGATTTTAACTCCGTATGTCTATCCTATCTTTTAGAATGTATAGACAACATCACAGGTTTCCTATTTATTTTAAACTTTATTTTACTAGAAGTTAAATACAAAATCGATAACGAAATTATGCCACTTTTTTTACCAGGGGTGCAACCATCTAATTCTCTTAGTCATAGGATACATCTTAGCGATGTTATGGTGATATTAAATGCCTCCTCTATATTACTCGCGAAGTTGAACGATGTTAGACGAATACGAAAGTGTAGAGAGTTACTTCTCCTCACTTCGTTAAACTTTACGAAACGAAATATCGCTATAATGTCGATAAGATATCGTGTCCTATAACTAGAGAGTAATAGGTCGCACTTCTGAAACTGCTGCATAGCATGATTTGGATGTAGTTTTAACAAAATTTTGTCTCCTGCAGCCCTACCGCACGACACCCCTGGTACTTCCAGGAGCGAAGGTCCGCAGGGAGCCCGGTCCAACGGAGAGCTATCTACGTCACCACCCAAACCCAGCCATGAGGGCGCCGCCACATCACGACTACAGAGATACACTAATGAAGCAGAAGGTACGATGCATTTTAGACACAATTAAAAATCAGCTCAAACTTTGTGGCTAAACAATAAATATGCAGATACAGTATATAAAGTGACCATAAAATGACATTAGAAACTGTTATTGGTTATGACAGATTTCGGAATTAAAAACTTATACGCAAAAGCATCTGGAATAGAGTTATCACTGCAATATGATAATACTATGACTTTTTTCGCTTTCGAATGTTATGTAATAAATTTTGTTTCCCGGATGTCGTACAAATGCAGTCAAATCCTATATTGACTGAAAGTTTAATTAGAAACCTGTTTGTAATACACAATATTCAAATTTTTAAAACACTTGTACATATATACAAATTCACTATTAAATCATATTAATACAAATCAAGCTTTTGTTTGTGACATATTTCGCGTCTAAGATTATTTTAATTAAACTTAGCTATTATACACTTTTTTTCAATTGTGGAAGAAAAATGAATAGACACAAAAGATAGAAATGGAATTTTGAATTCCGTTAACAATAGATACTAAAAGTATTCTGATAAATATCCGGCTCGAAGGACCAAATAGTTTTGTATTTAAAAGGAAAAGTAACTTATTAGAATATCTTAATTAGAATCAACTGGTAAGTCGTTATCAATTACTTCTTATTAGTACTTGCATTGCACGCCACAAATTGACACAGCTACATGCTTTAAAACTTCCTCACAATACATTAACGGCCCACATTAAATGATCACAATATAATGTTATTTGTGATTACCGAGAGATTCTTATGAAAATAAAACAATTTAACACAATTGGCCTGCAATTTTTTTTAAATTAGAATGTAGAAAATTTTAATTGAAAATTATATCTCGGTGTCATAAGGTAGAGTTTAGATTATTAACGCACTGATTACGCACTATCGCACGTTTGTACTATTATAAATAGATTTTTGATAATAACTCAGGTGGCAGAGTCGGTGCTGCAGCGAGTGGTTGGTGATGAGGGAAACAAGGTGGTTCTCTATACGATTGTGTGATCGCTTCTAGCATGCACTCATGCGCAGATAAACTTCTTTATGCGGAGCCATGTTAACTCATGATCCATTGCAAACGAATCTGAATGCTTACTCTGTTTCTTCGAAAACAAAATTCCGGTTTTTTTTAACTGACTTCAAAATCGAAAAGGAGGAAGTTATATATATAGAAAAAAAATTTTTTTTTTGTTCTACAAATTAATGGACCGAGGAGATCCCATTTAAATTTTATTGAAATCGAACCAGTAGTTTGCATTATATAACAAAACATAATATGCTTTCCAATATATATCACCTAAATATTTTGTTGGCATGTTTATATCAGCCAAAAAACAAAAGGGTGCATATTTTTCATTCATTGAAAATCCGAAAGCAGGATTTTCTATGTTCAACGATATACAATATTAATTTTTAATTAAGTAACAGCCAGTTGCACAAACGTATATTAAAATTTTCATTAGTTTAAAGCGACATTATCGATACAAATTTGACATTCATTAGGGCTTAAAGACGTCATTAAACCTTAATGGACGTTTGTGCAACTGACCGTAAGAAATAAAGAGTTAATGAAGGAAGGCCATTTTCTTAAATTTATATTCAAAATTTTAGAATATTCACAAATAACCAAGTGGAGCTTGTGAATATAAATTAATAACAGAGGTTTCATCGCAATGGATCCTGAGCACATTTCTTTATCTATCACATGTCTATACGTCATCTGTTTGAGCTTCATGCATAGATGTTCTGTTGTATAATGAAATTTCATCTCTATGTTTTTGACGATACATCTTATATTCCAAATTATGTTCTGTCTCAATAAGATGTTGAAATCTTTGACTTGCATAACTTCTGCTCAAGAATTTGTTAAAATACCTTTTTAATAAACAAGGGCTATTTCTTATGCCTACCTCTTTCGTGCTATTACTGTGTTGTAAAAAAGATTTATGCTCACTTCAAGAAGATACTCGTAATAATAGCTCATAGTATATCCCTTTCTCTCTCTAACAATTCATTCATGTATGCAACGTTCGGTTATCATATATTCATTGATTATTTTATACTATTCTCTTCAGATGGTGCACAAGCAATTCAATTCACCAATCAATCTATATTCGGACCAAAACATCGCCAACTCTATTAGGCAACAGTCTTCGCCCCTGCCGTAAGTATTGAAATGATACAAATTATAAAAAACTTTTTTATTGAAATGAACCTTAAATGTCAGTCTTTAAAAAATCGCAAGTGATTTAAAAAATAAACAAATTTTCGTTTAGAGATGAATAATTTGGCACTGATTTACAATAACATGGCCGGATGCCAAACTGAAAATGTTACCTAAGTAAAATGACCGACACAGTTCGAAACTGGACAAACAGCTATGTTAGATAATTGATATATGTATATAATATTTTTAAATGTGTATATCATCACCGGCTGTTTTACGTCTACACTGCAGGGACGCAGGCCTTCCTTATGGATGGTTAAGGAGAATGGGCCATGACCCTCCACGCTGGCCCAATGCGGATTGGAGGGTATTAACGACTGTAAATGCAGCCGGAACCGATGGCTTAACGTGCCATCTAAAGCACAGAGTAGCTCAAGACAATTATTATTTGGTCACCCATCCCGTGACTCGATGGCGCAGTAGCTAGCGCGCTCAGTCTGCGATACGGTTGTTAAGCAAGTTTCGCGATGGCCAGGCATAGGATGGGTGACCAAAAATTTATTATCTTGAACTCCTCCGTGCTTCGGAAGGCACGTTAAGTTTTTGGTCGAAGCTCCATCTGCACTCGTTAATACCCACCGATCCGCATTAATCCCGCGTGGTGGGTCATGGCCCATTCTGCCTATTCGATTCCACCCACAGGGAAGGCCTGAGCCCCAGCAGTGGGAACATATGCCGGTAATGGTGATGATCCCATAAACGGACCCTTGCGAAAGTTGCTTAACACCAACGATCGCAGGCCGCAGCCCTTATCCACTACGCCATCGAGCTACATAAATATATACAAAATTATATTAATAGTCCTCTTGTATTTTAATGTACAGCCGATAAATTGCTTACCACATACACGAACAAGGCAATTAGACGACTATGTGTTATGCGTATGGCCTTTATATGTAACTAATGAATTGCCTCGATCCTACTAATTTTAATGTAGCGATTTTGTAGCAGTAGCATAACTAAACCTCTTGTGTTTCGTTAAAATATTAAATTCAATTCGAATTGGTACTTAAACTAAGAGTGTCACTAACTAGTCAAAATTTTATAGCGTCTACGACCTATTTTTACATTAATTAGTCCTACTAATGATAGTCTAATTTGTCGTCTAGTTATCTTGCTTCAAGTGTAATCTTAAAACAAATAGTGTTTCCCCTAGCTTTTTGTGCTGTGTATGTAAATTGTTATTGTGATTGTTACATTACGAAAATATAATAACACAAAAACAATGTCCGTCGTGAATTTCTATTTTTATAGCATAATAATGAGTTATTTGTCTGCTCACATAGCGCTAACGGCCATTACGGACGGCCGCACGTTGTCAAGAGGCAAGTGTTTTACTAGAAACGCCGCCAAAACGACAGTCGACGCCCATCTCATGACGCATTAATGCTTTATTTATATTTATTTTCGCTATCTATCGACTCACGATCTCTTCACCGCGCACTAACGTCGAAGCACGGCGACGAGACGTCGACGCGTCGGCGACGAATCTTTAGAACACTGTTCACTTCACGCGCCACACTTTATCACTCTAGTTAATGTCTTTTTTTAATATATAAGGAACTCGTTCTACATAATTAATGTTAGTATTTTTATCGACCTCTCCTTCCTGAAATATAAACACTAAATCGCGTATTGTTCCTAAACTAACCGCTTCCGCGCCCGCTCCCGCTAACGTTTCCGTGCGCGCCCGCTAACCGACTAATACCGACTGATACCCGGCGGCGAGCAGACATAAGCCGACGGTGGTGTATGATCCCGCCAAGTCCGAGACCTTCAGGGCTCTGCAGGAGGACGGACTGAACGCGGCGCCTGGACAACTCATGCAGGAGGTGCCCACGCCCGTCACGCCCAAGGTCTTCACCGCGCCCACCAGCAAGGTAACTCTTCTGAATACGCTACTCCAGGCCAGGGTGAGGGGGGCGCCAAAATCGTTACAGTACAACAATTCATCGATATTATAGGCTACGATGGGACGGATATGCTTTAAAATCCCTAAATGAAATTAAAGAAAAATATTATACACTGTACAAATACGACAATATAAAATCCAGCTTCACGGCTAAGAGGAGGGAGGGGTACAGGAAGGGCTTACATACGTTTTATTAAAAGTAAATCCGGTACCGCGCTGCTCTAACGATCAACAAATGTTCTTAAATAGCCTACTTACACGGTCGACAAACATTCTAAAAAAGCAACTCACACGATCGATCAATATTCCGAATATGCTGTCACATTACCGATAAACATTCCAAATAGCCTGATCTCGCGATCGAAAATCATTCTAAGTTAACTACTAATACGATTGACAAATATTCTAAATATGCTGCTAATGCTATCGACCAGCATTCCAAGACAGCTCTACTCAATGCTTAGTTTACTTCCCACAATATTCCGATTAAGCTACTCGCTCAATCGACTTATGCTCGGTTTCTGAGGTACTTTTAACGGCAGTTTATCGATTCGATAGCGCTATTGACTCAATAACTCTTAGAATTGCGTTTCTGAACATCGCCGCGTCAGTTAAACTCCGTTTAAACTAAGGTTAACTTAACTGACCATTTTGTGCCGTTTATCGGTGCCATAACTTTATTTGTCGTTTTGGACGTGGTCACATCATGCGATTTTTAGGTTGTTATTATTACGTGGTGAATTTTAACGTTGCGTTATAGCTAAATAAAACTCGAAAAAACAATGAATAGTGGTATAATTAATACAAGCAGTTCGACAGAGTCGGATACAGAAGTAATGGAGTTTATTTCTAGTATATCTATACTAAGTGCGGGAACTAAAAAGCAATTTGACTCTAGTTCTTATTTTTAGTTCATCCTTTGTCTATTACTTTAATTTAAAAACACAAACAAATAGGCCCAGGATATAATATAGCCAAAATAATATGATTATTTTGTTATTTTTTAAAAGGAAGACATGAAAATTATTCCCCGTTTGTTGTTCCCAATTGTTAAGCAACTTTCGCAAAGGTCGGTCATGGGATGGGTGAAAAATTATTATCTCGACCTGATCCCTGCTTCTTTTTTGTAAGGATGTACATTTTCATGTATCTTCTTTTTTTTAAGGATGTACATTTTCGTCCTTCGGCATTACATACAGACACTGACAAATAGCTTATTTTCATATTTTTACACTAAAATAGTATTTAATAACTCATATAACTTAAAAAAAAGAGATCCATCTAGTGGTAAATTTAGGAACTACTTATTGGTTACATACTTATTGAGTAGTTTGTTGCGTGTTCAGAAACGCAGTGACAGTTAAACGAAGTTTATCTTCTCCATAACTTTAATGGAGCGATAACTATTGAGAACTTAACTGTAGCCCTCAGAAACCGGGCATTAGTCGACTACTCAAACGAGTCGACAAGTCGACCAATATTCCAAATACTCTTCCCTAAACAACCTAGACGCCGAAAGGAATCTCAATAACTCTGTGTTTATTTTTATGAGGTTGTACAATTAGAATAAGATCCTTGAATGTTTTTAAATTTTGTGTACTTTCTGTATTGTATCAACTGTAGATAATCCTTATAAAAAAATCATAATATTTTGTCGGTCTTTATAAAAATGTTAACGAAATTTGGCCTTAATTTGATTGTGCAATTACAAAACATAGTAAGCGAAGAAGAATTAACGAGATGATAAAGAATATAGTCATTTAGTCTAACAGTACCGAACTGTCGAAATACAGTTTCTCACAAATACCAAACCCATTTAATTTAATCTACAAAATACAGCTTTGCGCTCACGAACGATCGTATACGCAGGTCTTAAACGTTTAAATAATAATTTCGTATTTCTTAAATTCTGTTGAACAAACGACACTGGAGAGGTAACCACGTAGTAACCCGTAAAACCAAAATTGATCCTTAGAGCAGAATTACTTTTTATAAAGAGTAAAATATTATTCTTCGAAAAAAAAAATCTTATGGACATCCATTTAACTAATAAATATGCTGAAAGACCACCACCCTCAAATACCCCGAGTTAGGACACCAACCCACGACCTTTCTCAATTCGGGCGACTGCTCTCACCACTGAGCAACCCAAGACACAACAGCTGTGTGATTCTATAAACACATTTCGAATATCGGAAAGCCGAATCCGTGGCGAGATTCAAATTTCGTATTCTGTATAACTCCAAAACGCCGCTGGCGTAAATAATAAAATGTAATTGTAACTTTAATATGATTAATTCGGAAATAAGTTTTTTTTTTAAATAACTAAAGAGCTCTTCAGATCAAATTTGGTTTTGCAGATAACTATGTATTTGCTTCGCAGCGTGAAAATATTATGTCTATTAATTCATCATGTACGTTCCAGAGGCCAGCGCCAACTCCGAAGCCTGCAAAGGAGCCTGATGCGAAACCGAAGGGAAAACAAACGACCTTCGTAAGTATTGTAATGTGTTCACCATCGCTAAGTATTGCCATAGACAGATGAATGAGAAATCATAAATGAATAAGAATGATTCTTAGAATCACCTCAGTTATTGCATATATTATGGACCAAGTGATTATACATAATACCCGGCCATTATGAAAGTTGCCCAATATGAGAGAGAAATTTGATAATACTTATTCAAATAAATAAAATTGATCGGTCATTATGCATATCTGTGCATATCGTTAATTACCTTTTGGGCAGAGTATTTTTTTTTAAATGGGCTCTCTCTCAACTTTGATCTAGCCTAAGGACATAAATGAGATCACTTAAAATAAACTAAATGTCAAACAATTTAAATAATAAGACTTATTATTTGGATTAATCAGCAACTTCATATGTTAAGAATCCAATCGTTTTTGCATTTAAAACTTAAGGAAAGTAATATTAAAAATATATGGAAGCACTTTAGAATCAACGACTACGCCAAAGTACTCCAGAGGGGAAGGGAAGGTGGAAGGGGCAACACATACCATCCCCGCCATATGCCAAAGCGCGGAGTAGCACAGTTTATGAAGACAAAATATAGTTATATTACTATATCATCCAGATAATTAAAATATCATAAAGATTTTACTATCGGTTTTTCATGAAAAAATATATGATATTCTTATATCTATATAAGTAGGAAACCTAAAAAAATCTTTACTGTTATCTATTTTAAAAAAAAACCAAATTCAAACTCGAAACAGGGTCAAATTAATCACTTTCCCCGATAGAGCTAAAAATTCATAACGCTCGCACATTATTATTATTGCCCGCATTTATCACCTGGTCCCTATACCATACTACCATAACCGTTACAGTTGCCAGGATCCGTTTCTGGCCATCATTTACAGATTGTGGCCAAAATTTTCTGTCGGTAAAAATGCTAAAGTACAAAAAAAGTTTTTTTTTTATGGATCCCATTTCATCGATCGAAGTTAAGGTACCTGCCATTTCTTTAAAATTCGTTTCACATCACTTTGAAGTGAGATCATGTATTTTCAATTTATCCCTATGAAGAGTAATTTTTTGTATTATATTCCGTATTCGGTTATTTTCCTCTAATGGGGTTTTTGAAATAACCTTGTACGGATATAAATGAATATGGTTATTAATAAAAAAAATAACACACTAGCGCCATCTCTATGAATCGCTGATATTAACGAAGTATTCTATTTACACAGGTAAACTCCCTACAAGAAGAGCACATCCAACAGTCCAACTCTTTCAAACGCCTCATGTATAACGTCCTCGGCGACACGGAATTCTAGCGCACGGATACTTAAATACAACAATCAATGATGTTCCTACTCAATGGCATATCAACGATACTTTCCAACTAACGAACTATTTAACCCTATCAAGTATCCGAACGTCACTAAACGCATTCTTATGCGTATTCGTAGACGAACGGTTTTGCCATTCTAATCTCTGTTGACTGATTTTAAGCTACGGTTACGAAGCGGTTAGAAGATGGCGCCGAAGCAATAAATAAACGAAATATTCAGCAACGAAATAAGACTAACAAAAGTAATTTTAGGAATATATGAATAATCGTAATACTCCCGACAGTGTGTTATATTTTTCGGTGGATTTAATTTGTCTAATACTCGAGTATTAGTGATATAATTTATTATTTACAAATAAGTAGAAATGTAACTTTTACTATATTACTAAGTGTTAATTTTTCTGTTTGTACAGAAGTATATTGTTTACGAATGTTTAATTACATTATGGAAAATGTTGAGTGTACAATCTAGTCACTTCGACCCGAGCTCTGGTCGCGTTCGCGAATATATAATTAATTCGATCAAATTTAAATTAAATATTTATTTTTAACTACACTTTCGTTTCATTTATTTAACTCTCGGGATTTAAGATAAATAATTAAACGTGATAATTCTCAAAATAACTATATTCATAACCTGAAGTTAACTAACAATGTTTACACAATGAAATAAAATACAGTCTTACAAATTTCATTAATGATAAGTACAGATCAAAAGGGATAAAACAATTTTGAGCATAATAAAAAAAAACACTTAATAACTTATATCACATTATACAAGGGGTTTCGTCTCGTGCACAGAAAATTTCCATTATATAACCAAACTAGTACACAAGCTTTATAACAGCTGAATAAAGAGTTGCGAACCCTAACTATAAAAACTATGATTTAAAGTTGGATAACCCAGCACTATTCAGTTTAAAAGTGGGACAGTTACATGAAATTCAAGAAATAATAAATTTTCCATAATCTAAATCATTTTACAGAAACTGAACACTTAATTCTTTCGTCTTTTTTAAAGAGAAGGTCGATCACCTTGCGTTTTCCAAATAATATATGACCTTATAAAGGCGTCTTAAAAATCCAGCATGTTGCTTAAAACTAGCCGAGACATCTCAGAACACTTCAAAAACCAAGACGTCCTAGGAAGAGGAGACGGTTGGCAACTCTAATATTAGGATCTTCATTAAAAACTCATTATTTAATATCCGAAGTAGTAATTTATTAGGCTGCTATTAAATGAAAATTGTAAATAATAATCATAGCAGTATAAGACGTAGTAAAGTCTACTTATGCAGCTTGTGCACTTTTTTGGGAAACGTGCCAAAAAAATCTGTGTAGTCACACATACAAATATATTAACGTTTTGTACTTCAGACATGATTAGATGGTAATTAAAATATTGCAACCTAAATAAGGCACTACATTATCCAACATTCGACAAACAGCACAGAACAGAAATTTCTCAGCACACGAGACTTGGAGAGATGTCGACGTTACATGCATTTGATTACATTTTATTCGGAAGCATATATTTACATACTATATAAAAACATCGAGTACAATTAAAATTTGACGTTTGTGATATGTAAATAAAGTAAGTACGCAAAACTAATTATGCCAAATGCGTCTGTCGTTTATCGAGAAATCTCCGTGTACCCACATATAGCCCACTTATTCTAAATTCAAATATACAAGAGTGACTGACAATTAGTATACGCATATTTATAATACATTATAATTTACAACACTCATATGTGAAATTATTTCCCGCCAGAAAACAATATATTTTCCTAATGGATGGGTTATCTGGTTTTTTTCTTATCACGTGGACGACTAGTGTCTGTATGTTACATATATATCCTTATGCACTTGAATCTGAAAGGAGGTTTGTATACGTAAATTTATAATAAAACCATAGCAGTTAAATGTGGTACATAATATACCTTATCATATGTGCTAATTTTATATCAACACGGTGTGTCATTTAATCAATAAATATCACAAAGTCCACACAAAGTTTTCAATCTTCAGACAACTGAATAAAATATAAACATACATAGTGAGTCTGAAGATTTCAACTAAGAAATTACAATATAATAGTAGATGAATATAAATACTCCATGATCAGAATGGAGTATCCATATTTACATTTCGCTACGGGACTTCAAATCTTATTCCAGCATCAATTAAACTCTTATTTCCGCAACAACTAATAATTTTAGCTATAAGGGAATTATTCAAAAATTATTGAGAAAAAACAAAACACATACTGACCACTCGTGGTCGTGTTATGACATCAGCAGTACAAGGAGCTTTGCTGTTTAGCAAATGAGTTTTTATCTTAAATTATTAAATACGTACCAATAGTATAAAAATAACACACCACTAATAAAGATGGTTAAAAAGGGCCAACAAACATTTGATTGAAATCATAGTTTGAATATAATATCTTTTTAATATAAGTTAATAACATCTTAACAGTCTTAATAGCTCATTTACATTGGTCAAGGTCTCATTAGAATATTGACAAATGACCGACCAATCAATAAGTGACACAGCAATCCCTAAAGATCCTAAAAACCAATGTGAATGGGCCATAATTATGTGATTCATAAATTATTTAAAAGGGCTGTTAAACTAATTTTTTGAAAATATGTTCTAAAATATAATATCCCAATTTAGGAATGTTCAACAATATAAAAAAAAAAAAACTAAAGAACGACATCACAAAGGGAAGTAAATTTAAAAAATACCCGTTACATTTTCAAATACTGACATTATAATTTTGTTAAACATACTCCTAATTTAGTAAAACCGAAAGATTTGTTTTCATTTAAGACAAAAAGCTGTTATAAAAAAAGAAAATTCTAAGTGTCACTGTTATACTAGTACGCGAAGCATGACGAGTTTAGGCTACGTGCGTACTAGTGACTGTCTCCTGTCCCCGTACTGAAGAACTTTTACGGTGGCTCGTACTTTAACACGTGACTAGTATGTAATTTCCGTGGAAGTGACAGGGAAAATAAATCACTATGACAAAAGTCACCAGTGTGTGCGTAGCCTTAGTCTACATACAATTTTGTCGATACGAGCATGACAATCTCGAGGAACATCCATAATCTTATTAATGTTAAGAGTAGACAAAAATCTATTGTAGTTATACAGTTTATAATTGTCACAAATACGTATAAACTACAATTTTTACAACTATTAAATGTAACAGATCGACATTATACACATCAGCAAAGGGTATGTCTGTACATTTAGGTGACAAGTTGTAAATATCATATACTCGTACTCGTCAAGTTTCTCGTTCCACACCCGAGTAATAGCCGTGATGCTACGCCTACAGTGTTTGAAAACAAACAAAAATATTAAACGGAAATATTTCCCTTTAATATTTTTCAGTTAAAATAATGTTTCTTTCGTATTTTTATCATTAAAATACTTCTATATTGAAAATTTCAAGTAGCCTGGAATGAATGAACATTTTAATTCACAGACAAAACAACTCCAACCATTACATATCGCCACAATCTGCAATAATTAATAAGACATACACATACATATGAACGGTCAATGAATAAAACTTTTTTTTTTAAACAACAAATACTAGATCGCACGACACACCTAATTTTGGACTGATATTCATTTTATTAGCACCAAATTACATACTATTCAATAATAAGCCATTACCTAATAATATAACTATATGTTATACGTGAATTGGAAAACGTTAACACATTGTTATTTAAATATACGATTATATATTTACAAATTTCTATCGAAAAGTTAAAATAAGATTACTCTTTTTATTGTAAACATGAATAAAAAGAAAACACTTTGTAAAACTTGTATTCTTACGTATGTTAAAAAAAAAAACAAGAAGAGTAATCCCAAGCAATGTGATTTAATATGTGATGGAGCTACAAAAGACGTGTTGTGAAATTACATATAGTACATAATAAAATGGCTCATATTAATTGGCCCATAGCACTCGCATGCGAGGTGAGATCTCTATGGGTACACATTGGTGATAGACCAATGACCGGCCAATAATAATAAGCCACAAGATGAATAAAAACACATAAATAATGAATTAAAATGTACGAGATCGCCCTTGAACAGTAGACAGCATACAACCCTATCCATAAATGTCTTTATTCTTTGATCGATTTTAAACCTTAACGCGTTAAAAGTGGATACAAAATGGTAAATTTTCAATGTCAAAATTACTCATATTTGAGAAAATTCACCGATGTGTTGCTGTAAACACAAAAAAAAAGTGAACTGCTATTATTTGGCTTCTACTTCATAACAACAGACTAAAGGGTTGAGCTATCGAACTACATCTTTCAAGCCGGTATCGGTTTTTCATAGCCCTATTCTTTTCGGTCGTTCAGAACCGCTATTTGCTAGAACGAGACAGATAGCGGGAAACCTTGAAGCGGTATGCAGCTATCTTTCTCGCTTCAGAAAAAGCAAAATACGAATAAATACGATAACGTTGTGCCAGACTGTACTTCGATAGCTCAACGTTAATATTACTTAGAAAACGATTAATTGTGTTAGCCAAAACATGAATAGTTTTATGCATTATAAAGAGAACTTAAATATTCAGATAAACAACATTAATCAATTAACAATTATGTAACACTAACTTAAAAAGCCAATTTTCAACAAAAAAATATAAACCAAATGCCAAATAAATGCATCTCATTGGTAATGTTATGTTTTTAAAAAAACTTTGAATAATAATTTGGATCATGATGATTTCAAATAACAAAAATGAAACAAAGTGTTGTAGTTACGTTTGACAAATGAACGATGGATTGATTTATTTATGAATGTATAAAAGAGAGCCTAGTGAAGAGTCATAGATAAGACGGAGATTCGTTAGTAGAAAGCACACTACATTCAAGCTCTACAAAACAACATTTAAGAAATAAGGTTTGAACGTTTATTAGAATAGAATTGCAAGGTAGAAAGAAAATTCGTTTAGTCCGCCTCCTTCGCGCTGACATAAACTCAATGAACATGAACTCAATTAAATAATTAATGTTTTGTGAGTAGCCATTTAAAGCAGATCTTGGCCTCTTTGGTGGTGACACAGAATAAAATTATATTGACAGCTCGCGACCCTGATATTTATTATTACAATATCAATGTTATTAAAAGGATCAAAAGTCCAAGGTTTGTTCAAATTAATGTTATAAACTAGCAGAAAATATAGTTTAGGATGACACAACCCATCCCATTACCACACCCCACCCTTTTATGGGAACACGGGCCACGATTTCGCTAACATCAAATGACACTTTAATGGCGTTACAATAATGGAATTTTTCACTACATCATTCACCTAAAAACAAATTATTATTAGTGAATTAGTGTCTTGTGATACAGTAATGACACAATTATCATCGAAAACTACAAATACCCGCTAAAATTTAACCATGTTTTTTCTTCTCGTATTTCCTTTAACGTAAAAAAATAAACATGAAAAAAAATATTGTAACCATAGGATAAAGAATCATATGGTATAGCGAAA